ACAATCCACTGCACCAGTACATACAGGGATGGCTCTGCAGAGTCCTTTTACTAACTTTTTTTTCCATTTCAACTCTAATTTAATAGAAACTGCAATAGAGATACCTGTGCTTTGGGATTTGCTCTGAGTTGTAGAAAAGGTATATTTAGACGAACAAGAAAACATATTTAGCTTCTAACAATGCTTAGAGATGCAAAGTGTTGCCAGCATGCCCTTTATTACCACAATATGCCTACATTTTTTTTTCCCAAGATAGTACAATTAACTTTTTAACATTACCTTAATTTCTCACTATACCCTGTCCTCCATCATAAAGTCAGTGATGACTGAAGATTTGGTGAAGGCTTTAGGGTGTTTATCTTTGCAGTGAGGAAAGTGAATATAGAGCATTTAAACAAAAGAATAATCCATTTGCAATTTGCCATTTATGTATCTTTCTATAAAAAAAAAAAAAACAAAGCATTGATGATTTACTAACATGACACGCACCTATCAAGGACTAACCTAAATAATCTCCACTTTGCTCTGCCCTTACCTGGTACATTGCTGAAGCAGCGTATTATTCCATATAGAAGCAGCTACTAGATATCAGATATAGAAAGTACATTTTCCCTGTGATTTGGCAAAAGGTTCAAAAAAAGGCAAAACTGATCAATCCAGAGTAGACATGATCGAGTGAACTTCATCCTTTGTGGACTTGACTATGATTAGGAGTGAGAGTTAAAATGTTGCTTTTACTGTGCTTCACACTAATAATATTCCCCATGGATTTATTTCAGGGAGAAGGACATCCATTGATTAGCAAAACAAAAACAATTTATTCTAGGAACATGTACAGTAAATCCTCATAGGGAAAAAATGTTTTTATAATTAGATGTCTTTAACCTTTTTTCTTGCATTTCAGTAGGTATACTATGCCAATGTATTTCATATTAACAACGTTACATATAGACGTACAGTTTTAACTATGTTTCTGGTCAGTTTATCAAGGTGTATTCCATACAGCTCCTGCTTTTGGATGCCCCAGTCTTGGCCTCTACATACAATTTTTAGTAAATCTCATAATTTAGTGGTGGGATCCAAATATTTGTCCTTTTAAATCCAGAACATAAACTTTTCCTTCTGGCACTTAGGCAATTATTTGATCTTGTCTGAGAATCTAATCCTTCTAGGTTTTCCTTCCATCAAGAGCCTAACATGTCCTTGCTGCAACTTCTGCCTGGGTTTCTACCTGTCCTTTAGCTGTGAGCCCCTGACTCTCAAGGAACACCACACATGAAGCTTTCAGTGCATGCAATTCCACCTGCAAGACGCTGCTCAGACTTTACCAAGATGCCGGCAACCTCCCTGCCTCAGACAAAGAGAGCAAAAATATTATATTTGCATACATCCTTTTCTATGTAACATACGCCTCCTTGTGTGTTCATTTATAATGATTTTTCTTGATTCAACTCTTTAATATTAGGCACTGTGCATAGAAAATGTTAATTGTCTCTATGAAAAAACCAAACAACCCCCCGGCAAAGGACAAGGCTCCAAAAGCAAGAACTTCATTCAACTCTTACCCCTGAACTCTACTTAGAGCTTCTAGATGTCTAGGAAATATCCCAAAGTAGAGATTGCCTTCACACTGACACAGGCAACCTAATTTATGCATGGGGCGGGTGCAACCTGTTGAAGGAGTCCAAGACTCCAAAGGGACAATGAGGCACCATCACAGCTATAACATTGAGACACATTGGGTCTTGCCCACCTTGCCTAAATCCGGCTCCATTCTGATGGAAAGACAACATTTGCATTTTGTGGAAACAGAAGGCATTAGATCTATTAAGTTAGTACCAGGAAGAGTATTTTTCAAGGGCAAGGGACAGAATGCAGATGGACTGATAACACAAATAAGGTTGATTTCTGCACCCCTTGAAAGAGTTATGTGAACCCATGTTCTTAAGTATCACTTAGCTGGATTTTCAGCACTTTAAGAAGTGTTTAAAAAATTAAGTCTGCCTTTTTACCACTGCAAAAGATAAATCTTTGTTTAATCTGTAATTTCTCAGAGGATTATTCATAGAGTTCCCACTATAAGTTGTCTGACTTGTTTACACAAATTGAGAACACAAATCACATTATATTTGAAGCTCCTAACCTGCAGAATAAATAAGATATTTTACCAAACCAAAATTTTTCTACACAAGAGATTGGTAGATTGTGCATCCACTGATTTTTCTAGTCTTAAAAAGAGGAAGGGTTTGGGTTTTTTTCCCCACGGTCAGAATTTGGAACTTTCATAAAGACTCACAAAATCTATAAAAGTAAAGGATACAACAGAAGTGAAAGCTACCTGTACAAAGTGACTAAGCTGTATGCAAAGTGCTTAAATGATATGCAAAGATGAATATATACGCTGAATCCAGGATTCACAGCACACTTACACCATCAGAAAGAGGCCAATTAAAACATAGTGGGTCACTAAGCTTTGTGGTAAGTTGTGCTTAGCACAGAGATCAGGTCCTGTACTCAGTATTTTCTGTCAAAGTTCATCTAAACAGTCTAGACAGTCTCTGAACCCCCTTCAAGGAACATTTCTTCCCTTTTTCACCCCACACATAGTTGTCTATAAAGACATCTAATTCTGTAAAGCTACCATTTCTGAGTCCTCAGACAAATCTCTCTGCTTTAAAGACTTATTTGCCACCTTTTAAACATAATCATTTTGTCATGCTACACAGACAAAACCACCACAATTTCCATTTCATATGCCACTTTTCAAAGTAAGTCTTTGGGTACCACACCCACTTCAATGCAATGCTCAGAAACCGAGGGCAACAGGCTTGCTCGAGTACAAAAACTTTGTAAAGACACAAAAAAAACTTCCCAGTGATAAATGGGAGCGGGAGAGGGGAATGGCTCGGGGTCCTCCTTGCAGGCAGGATGCAGGCTCTTCTCGTCAGCTGCGAGAGCTCAGCAAGCAGAACAATTTAGGAAGCTTATTACCTGTTCAGCAAGCAAAAGGAGTTAACACACACAGAGCAGAATCCCAAGTTACAAGTCAATTAAAAGCTTCACACTATCACGCCACCTCACTGAAAGCAATAGGAAGGAACACAGTCAACTTTGCAGATCTGCTCTCTCTTTATATTTATAAAGACCAGACCAAAACTAAGAAGGGAAAAAACAAAACAAGAGAGTTCATACAATCACCAGTCCTGCAGCCATCATTTCGACACGAAGGGTCGACCCTGAGCATTTGTACACAAAACATACAGTTTTTACTTGGTGAATATTGTGATTAACTTGATGTAGCTAATTTGGGGTAAGCCTGTACACAGTTCTTTAAAAAGAAAACCGCCTCTTTGCTAGCCCTATGTAGCAAATTTTTGAACGTTCCCTTTTGCAGCAAGTAGTACTAAGCTCTCTCATCTATTATACGTAACGATAGCAGAGGAGACCATTTGGATGCTACTGCTTCTACACTACAGCAGCTCCAAATTCAGTAACAAAAGTAACTAACATACTCTGAGCATTATTTTCCTATGGCATTAAGGTAATCAAAACCATGCACATTTAAGTAGTGATAATATGCATAGCTACATATCTGGTTAAAACCGTAGTGGGGTGAGAAGTAACTGTGTTGCTTTCATTTCATGAGGATCGAAGCTGAGTAGAGGAACTGGGCCAGCTTACAGCAGCTGAGCAAGATGGTATTTTTGATAACTGCCTTCTGGTGCTCAGAATCTCATTTCCATACAAGAATACCCAATTATTTGCAAGTGGAAGGGATCTTTGTAGTTTTTCTATATAGACCGCAGTCATATAGGCTTGAGGAAGTGTGGATCACACCTATGTGTTTCACAAGGTGTGGGATACTGATTTGGGCAACAGGAACTTGCCTCAGACTTTGTAATTATTAATATAGATTACAAAGTTGATCAAACTATGCAATTAAAAAAACCCATCAAAAACACCATGAAGTGTCCTGCAATTCTTCCATTATTCATTAAATCAGAAATAGACATCTTGACATAAGGCATCAAAGTTGTTATGAAATTAATTTATTTCTAAATGACACATGAAGCTCCTTCTCAGTATAACAGTTTTTCCTGGGGAGTCAATTTATTTAAAAGAAATTAAGACATCATCATACCAAGACCTAATTATGAGATCTTTATATGTATTTGCAACCTGAAGCATCACAGCTGTGCTTTTAAACTCCTACAGCAAAAAGAGACTTACTAATTGTTACATTGTAGAGCCTATCCTATTTGCTTCTGGAAGCGAGGGGGGGTCTATAATATCACATAGCTATACGCCTTGATGCTTCAGTGGATACGTACAGCTAGATTCCCCCTACCCCAGCCAGGAAGGCTCTGTGTAGGTGCCATTAAAGGCCACCTGCAAGGCTGCGTTGCAAAGAGGACTGGCTTGCTGCCTGTGACAGCTCGAAGTACCTCCACATTGCTGCAGTAATGCTCACGTTAAGATTGTCTCTGTGAAATGCATTTAGAAGAATTTACCTATTCAATATAGTGTATGAAAAGCATGCATCTACACTGCAAGACTGCTTGGCATCCCAGAAGTAGAGAACCGAATGGGACATCAGAGTCTCCACAGACAGAGGCCACGAATCTAAAATCCCTATGATTTAGTATTTCAATACCATGGTGATGAGTGTTCTATAGATACCTGACGTAGATTACTCACCCAGCAAATCTGTCACACACTCAAGTGTGGTATTTGAAAATATTGGGGTTTTTCCTAATTACTCTAAGGCCTAGCAAGAAAATTTTCATCCTACTCACTGTACCAAAATAGCCTGAAGTAGAAATACTTGGCCTTGGGAAAAGAATTACTGAATTGTGTGTGCACATAGGCACATGCAATCCAGTAACTCCAGAGTATGCCTAATCAAAACAGCTCAAACCTACAAGCAGCAGATCCTATTTGGGGATTTCTACTTTACATTTGCACACAGGCACAGTGGATCACTTGCCTGCTCTGCCTACCTCGCAAAGGTGACTGCACACTGGCTTGGCACGGCAGAGAGGAGCGGGAGGGACACTCCATGCAGTCGGAGCAGAAGGGAAGCGGAGGAATGCTTCGAAGGCAGGACACCCGAGCAGCACACCCAGCCCCGCAGCGCTTCTGCACCATCGCCTCTCCCATGCCACACCAGCGAACCCAATACAGGGGTTTGGCAGACGACAGCTGAACAGGCAGCTATGTCTGACACGTGGGAGGGAGATTACAGCACAGCTCTTTAAAGCTAAGAGGCAGGTGTTGACGTGCCTAAATTAGGGAATTTCACACCTAAGCCACACAACCTGACAGGCCTGATTTAGGATTACATTTAATGCTTCAATTTATCATATATACAGTACTACACATGACAACTAGTTTCTTTCAAACTATTAAAATCTGTTGTGGTATTTCATCTCTACCAATCTAATTGTATACCCTTGCTTAAGAACATTGTTGGGTAAATCAAAATCAAGGGCTCAGATGGCTCTACAAGGCAAGGAGAAAGGGCTTTTATTTGAGGCACCTGAGATCCATTTTATTTTACATATTTATCATATTTGTAAAGACAATGCTAGTGATGTTTGAGAACAGAGGGGTATGACAATAAAGCATACACCAGCATCCTCCCTCATCTGCACACAAGAAAACCCAAAACAGACCAAGCTAAATATTTTGGCATATGGAACCTAGGGAAGAAAGATCATCACCTTAATAGTCTCCAGAGGCAGAAAAAGCTTTTAAAGAGAAAAACAGAAGCATATAGTATATGTGGGAAGACCAAGTTAAGGCATGATGAAGGTTTAACTACATGCTCTTAAAATTCTATTTTTTATTCTCTGCAATCGCTCAAGCCCTAGTTCAGAATACTTTACAAAGCCAGTCAATCTTAGAGTCATACAGTGAAAATTCCCTCAATGTGCACATCCGAGAGCCCTAGAGGGGTTCTGAGTGCTGTGGCCCTTAAGGGTTAAAACTTCAGTTCTTTGATATTGCTGTACTTCTAAGTATGCTATTAACAGCAATTCTTTGGTAGATCAAAAATTAAAAGCTCAAGAAATAGTCTACAGCATGATGAAATACACTGGACTTACAACAGACAGAGCAGACTGTACAGCTCTACACTCAGGCTAGTCAAAACAGGTGTAATAGCCAAGCTCAAGAAACCAGGGCTAGGCAGAAGGCTCTTAGGGCTATGTAGTGAGACAAACGGGATACACCAGAAGGAAGGTGCAAAGTGCTATCGTCCGGGATGTGGCAGAACAAGAAAGGGATCCCCCTCTCCCCTTGTCTTGCCTGAACATGCATTCACAAAACAAGCAAGAAACACAGTCGGGTATGTCAGCATTTTAGACTATGATTTCCAGGCCCATATAACGGACAGAAGAATTAGAAGCTAACTTCCATACATCACAGGGATATCTGAAGGAAGAACAAGACGTCCAAAGAGACAGGTAAGAATAAGATTGCACTAAGAAATTGCTTCATCAAACACAGTTCAAAATTTAAAGAGAGCAAATAGATTTGTAGCACAGCATGCTCTTGATTTGAACATGAAATCAACAGAGCCAAGCATGGAAATGACGTGTATGGATTGCTTTCCTTTGCAGAGACCAGTCATGGACAACTAGGACATACTACAACAGCATAGACAGGAGATAAAAGACGTGGATACTTCAAAAATGAAAAAACAGCAAACACAATACTGTGCTTGCATTCCTGAAGGTGGTAACTTAGAGACAGAGGCAGAAAAAGCATATTATGCCATGTATGCAAATTTACACGCAGGAAACAGATGTGGGGAAAAAAAATCAGGAATGGAAAATGAAAATATTTGGTGGTGTTAAGTCTTCAATACGCTAGCTCCATTTACCTTGGAATTTGATAAGAACTGGTCCATTTACAATAAACCCCACAATATCTGAATCCCATCAGAAACACCGTTTGCTTTATTTGATTTATAAAGCCAACACATAAGAATAAATAGCCTTCTAAAGCAAAAACAGATGCCAAGAACTCTGACTTGTCAGAGCAGAGTTTTGTTGTGTTCATACCACTACATGACCACATACAAGAAGGTCAACTGATAATCTAGAAGACAAATTACATGCTTCTCTGCTTAAGAGTATCAGACAATGTATGTTCTAGAAACAGCATTACTGCAGATGTTTTGAGATACACTATTAATAAGAATATCATCATCATCAAAATGAATTTCCTAGCTTCTGGAAAAAGAGGAAGTTGTTTATATTCTTGTCTTGATTAAACTACTCTGGGATTCTAAAGGACAGCTTAAGAAGTCCCTTTGAACATAAATCAATCAGAAATTATTTTGCTACGGAGGATTACATTTATATCTGATTAAAACAGAAAATACTGAATAAGGAAAAAGAGAACAGTCTCTATATAATTAAATTTTCATTCTCAAAATTACTCCTAGTTTTAACAGAGAATTGAAAATCTCTGCAAGTCTACACTATTGTTATATATTTATGAAATGGGATGACTCATCTGCAATTTAGCAATAAAAATACCCTACATGGATCAACAAGTTGTTTAATCAAAGCAAAACCCAAAACAAAAGCCTGAAGCTTGACAATTTTCGGAATATTTTTTTTTTCCAGATCTAGTCCCAAATGCTCTACCGAATGACAGGCTTCAGAGGAATCCATGTATACGTGTTTACCTTACACAGACCTTTCTAAAACAGGGACAGGCAATTCTCATGATAACACCCATCCCACATTTCCAATTACTATATTGCCAAAAGCTAAAACACCAAAACCACTATTCATTTAAATAGCACATGTTGTAACCACAGTGGTAAAGGTTAGTGTTGTACAGTATATATGCAGCAATAATACTATTTATGATTAAATCAAGCTTTGATTTCAGAGCCAGAGAGGCAACTCCATGATGCAGATTTTTAAGACACATCAATATATCTATTAAAAGTGTCCTATGAAATTTGCCTGCCTTCTTAAATGAAGAGCAGATTTAAATGAAGCAATAAGTGGTTTGAATGAACGATTACCAGCAATCAACTCGGTGGCACCAAACGCACAGCCTCCTGAATGTACGCTGCCCATCATACAAGTCACAGAGATCACGATAGGCTTTCCCTCGCCTAGATGGGGCATCTCAAGTCACACGCCAGGGAAAGCCATCAGTGTACTGAGGAAGACAGTGGCTGGAAACAAACTGCTGCCACTGCAAAGGTCTCATTGACTACGTCTTTGTGAGTTAGTGAAAGATTTCCAAGAAAGGCAATGGCTGAGCAGGGGCTCCATGAATTGCTAGCCGGCAGTAGCAACACACAATCCTACAGAGGGGAAAACGTCAGAGCAGACTGGCACCTAACCTTTGCAACATGAACAATAAACCCGACTTGTAAACAGCATCTGGCGTCCTGCCAACAGGCACACGGGCAGCAGGTTCTAACCCTGTGTACAGGAAGGGCCACAACCAGCCCTCCTAAGCCTCTCAAGCACACCTGAAAACCGACCGGCGAGGATTAAAGTGACAACTACAGCTGTCACCATCTCATAAAGAGTGGATGGTGGCTCACAAATTGTTTTCTCAGATACGGAGCACTCCATTAGGACAGCTACAGCATCTCCAATGTACCAGGGAGGGCGAGATTCATCTTAACTTCAGTTGCCCAAGTAAACAGACACCGACCTCTGAGCTAGCAGCTCTCAGTTTCCCTCTGTCTCACTTTCTGGAGAGCTGGGGGTTACTTCTAGGACCTACAACCAGTGTAGACAGATGTCAGACAAATTCCTGCAGAGCACCTAATTGTGCACAGTAATGCAATTTGTGCACTCTCCTGCCAGGGAGGCATTCGGGTACATACAGAAAACAGGTGGATTTTCTACAGATATTTTCAAAATACCACCTGTCTTCATTTGCCTGCTTACTAACAGCTGGAAAATGACACTGCAGATGTAATAGCAATGCAGCCAGGTTTTAGGTAAACATTTGGGGGTGGGAATCTCAAAACTCTACATTTTTATTAATGACAAAAGGAAGAACATTAGACAGCCGAACACAGATCCCTTCAAGGAAAGGACATGTAACGATGAATTTCTAGCTAAGGATCAAAGGCTTCTAAAAGAACACACTAAAATCAGGGTTTCTAACAGATTAGGCCATCTAAAGCTCATATTTTTCAGTTCCATTATATATGACTATATTGTGCATCACCAGCCTTTGGGTTCGTGAACAAAGGCAGCATTCCTTCACTGCCATAGTAACAGACCTTGCGGGAATGAAAGGACAGAATAGCAAGGCATTGAGAAGAACAGAAGAAACAACAGCTAAAGCATCTTAGCAAAGGAACTAACGTATTAGGCACTTCATAATTGTCTCCTTGAACTGCTAAAGAGATGAAACATAGCCTCAAAACCTATTTAATCAAAACTGAAACATTTCAGAAGCAGAATGCCTAAAATAGATGAAGAGAACCTAGTTCTTGATAGAACACTGATAAATCTGCACTTGACAACATCTTCTTCACTTGCCACAAACCTGTGTAAATGCTCATTAGCAGGTACTACATCCCGAGAACGGGTCTACTTTCATCAAATTAACACAGTAATAGTAGCAGCTTTCCAATATATACTTTCAGGTTCAGCGTTTGCTCAAGCTGAATGCTCAGAGCAGCATGAAATAGATGGCACTCGAGTCCTGTTAGCCTCAGGAGGCAAGAAATAAGCCCGAGGAGAGCTCAGTTTTCATAGTTTAATGAAAGCACAGCAAGAGTGATGCTTGAAAAGGTCACTAGGAAACAATGGCAGTGCAAGTAATGCTAACATAAAATGCTCAACCTTTACTCAATCTTAATCCCATTATCTTTTTTCCCCGTTGCAACAATAAATGCCACTGAACCAAAGGGATGTACGCTATTTTCTTCCTGTGACTACATGTAAAAGAATTCTGTGGAAAGTACAAGTAAACAAAGGACACTTCCAAAGTATTCTTTTATATATGTCTCTCTCTATGCACAAAATGTGCAAAAGTTAAATCTGCTACCAGAGGATGAAAAATAACAAACAGTAAGAATAAAGAAGTAACCCTACTGAACTGCGTTTTTCCTTCTGTTTACATGCAGGAGGAAAGATTAGGTCAACACA